CCGGTGCCTCTTTAAACAATTAATTAATATAAAAACCGGTTGATTTGTGATGGTAACCTTTTAATAAGTAAGTACATGATGCGGGACGCGAATCACATTTAGTGGCCTTTTTTTCAAAGATTAAAAACAAATTCAGTACTGTATTATTAACTACTTCTGACTTAGGTCACGTCTATTGATTTTGGTTTTAATGAGTTTATGATTTATAATGGTCTCGGTATGGGTGACGTCATTGGTCACGTAATAATTTTTGCCAGGACATCCATTTCAAAAGTTTTTAAAAGTCTGCCTACAGCTTTAGCAATGCTGTTATAGATATGTCAAATTAACAAACTCCGAAGTTGAGCCAAACATAGGGAAGCATAATTAAAGACAGTTCAGCAAAGCTCCAAGTCCGAGCCTTGCTAGGGTCGATTCACAATACGGCATATGGGCTCACACAAAACCAGCACATACACTTTGGCATTGATTGTGGCTGAAATTACCTTTCCTAAAGCTTACTGTAAAACGATTCTATTATATAAGTTGATTTTCGGTGCAATTTCCCATATCATTGTCTGCTGCGTGCCAGGACCTATTTGCTGCAATCTATCAATCATTTGTGGAATAAGGTCATGCTAGTTCACAATTTCTTTTCATGTATGACCGAAATTCCCCCGGATTGCAAGCCAGAAAATCGCCTCAAAATCTTGTCATTATTGTCATTAGAGCTGCGGAAAGGCTGGTGGCACACACAGTTCTGATGTGTATGTACCATTGCCGACGACACTTTCTGCAGCTAAATGATCTAAATGTTTTCACTATCATTCTGTAACCATGTGCTATATAACCTTTATGGATTGTCCACTATATAACGACGTGACAGAAAAGCAAAATGTTGTCAGACTACAAAGACCAATTCATTTAGACAGGATATATTCTGCAATTATACCAGGAAGGGATTTAGGCAAGAGAACGTATTAGATCTAAACTCCCGTAATGACGTTGTTTGCATCGTTGGCTCCAACTTGTCTGTGAGTATATATATGTGTGTGTGTGGGGGGGGGCGGTTGTCGAAGACAGAAATGATCTGGAAAGAGTCATACAGGGCGTTGGTAATCTTATCAAAGACAACACAAATTTTGTCTGAAATGTATGAGTATCCCTCCGTAAATAATTTCATCAGGTTGGTAAACGACTGAATAGCAAAGTTCTTTTATCACAACCATTTATTTTTCATGCCGACGTTTCGATGACCTTCTGTCATCTTCATCAGGGCAATTCAATGTACGAGTATCACAATTTTTTGCTAACAATGCTTCTAATCCCTCACCAGCTCTAAAATGTACAAAATTCTTCACCTCATTCTGGCAGATTCGCAACTGAATCTACATCAAAGGACCGCTCTAGTATTAAAAACAATGCATTATTTTCCAGGTGCAGAAATAAGTAAAGTGTGTGTGTGTGTGTGTGTGCGTAGCTGTAGGTCTACAGTTAACACGCACTGTAGGGCCTTAATTTTTTTCAAGAGTTCGCTGAATTCGTGTCGTAGGCTCTGTGGACTTCTATGAAGTATTACGTAACTTTCTAACAACTTGGAGCAAAACAAGAGGGGGTCAGCCAATTTCCGTCGGTTTGTTGCCCGCCTTCCGGATACCAATTTGTTTTACCTTAATCAATGCCCACCAAATTGCATCCTTTCCTATTGAAAGTAAGCTCACGCTTTCGGATGTAAACCGAATCTCGGAAACTTGATTAAGTTTTTCAAAGGCCAACTGGTAATTCACTAAGGAATCGGTCGGTGTATTACCATATCTATTGAGAGACAGTCTAACTTTGAAGGAGAATCATTTCTCCACGACATTCTGTATAAGGATGAATCTGGGCTTTATATCGACCCAAACTCCAATTAAATCCCAGTAATTTGCGACGGTTAGGAGGATAATTGTTAAGCTGGTGTGAATGATTAGTTGATCCGTGGTTCTTACCAGAAGGGTTGAAATGACGTTTCATCATCAAGCCTCTTGTTTAAGTTCAACGTGTGAGATTTTATTACCAGGATGCTTTTATTACCTTATAGCTTGGAAATGTACTTCAAACCATATTGGAATATCTTGAACACTACATAATTTGTCCACGACATATACATGGAAACACCGGCAAAATGACAGCATTTTACCGTTTTAAGACAGTAGTTTGTAGTTCACATGGCAATGACACATACTTACAAAACTTACATAATTCACAATTCATGGGGTAATATTCTGGAGGAAAAGCAAATTATAGTATAACCTTGCACACAGGTACAACCACATACATGCACATATACTCTCGCACTCACTTATTCACCAACTGACTGTCTCGTTCAAACTCTCACTCTAGATCTGTCTCGCTACCTAGCACAGTCTTTCACACGGACAGAGATTGAAAGAAAGATTTGCGTGGAGCAAACTCATCACTCGCATGACTGTAATTCTGCGTCACCAACCGCACAAAAGCATTCACCATGTCTGCTATTTTAGTAACAGTTTTCCACCTTGCTTTAATGTATCACCTGTGTTGACCGATTTGTTAAGGCTTTCATCCCCTGACTTCTACACGTACCTCTCAACAATCCGTACCGGATACACCCATCTTCCTTCTCTTCCCAACCATTCATCCTTTCGTCCCTTCCTCATCCACCTCTGTCGTTAATTATAAGGCACGTGAAGGTGAAGCCATGGCTAGAATATAAACTAGTAGTGGTTGTAACGTATCTATTTTGTCTTTGTACTTGTAATAACACTGTACCCTGAATGCAGCTGTAAGAAAACTGGCTTGCAACAGTGCAAAACCGAACGCCATGGCCAGTAAATCTATATAATTAGCTAAAGGTTGGCAATGACTGCAATGTTTTTGTATCGATGGTCTGTGGTTGAGGGTTTATAGCTAAGGATGACATTCTGTCAATTTCATTTCGAAAGTTATTAGAAATGAATGTCAAACAAATGATAAACTGAATGTTGATAAGTAAAGAGATGGTGGTAATTACTGCAGTGGCAAGAGGTGTCTTACCATGTATAGAATTACACTTCAATGGCATTGCTTCCCATTATGGTTGTAGAATATCAGTTTGAAATGTGCCACTCAGTATGGGTACATGTTGTAATGCCGGAGGACTTTTTAAAGAATGATTACAGGCAATCATTATCATATTGAGTAGTGTTGGTCAAAGGCCGACTGCGTGGGTCTGCAGAGGTTTGCAAATCAGCAAGAACCTTCGATGTGGCACTGGAGAGGTCAGCCCTGCTTCTACCTTAATTTGCCTGCCACAATATCGCCGGAGGAAACGATCCGCAGGGGCGAGAGGGCCACAGCAATGCCAATTAAGAATGGCAGAATTAGCGGTCTCGTAGACAACAGGGCGATGAGAGAGGGCAATGGGAGTGTCTTTGCTTCGATAACTGGCTCACGTGTATTGATTTACCGCGACATGCATGTATTCCAGTGTTTGATAAAACCGTTTCCTCGCAAAATTTCATCTTCAGCAATTGCCATGTTCGATGAGTCGAGAATTTTGCGACTCCTTCTCCAATAGTGGCGACAGGAATTGCCTTCTGGTCAGCTTTGATACTAAGTCAAACACTGAACATAGATAGAGTTGGACGATTCCCATATTGCAACCACAACATTTGTCTCATTTGATTTGCCGAATCTCAATTATTCTATCCACAGAGATAACAGAGTCAGACATGTCCAGATTAAATAAATTCCGAAGAAGTCATGTGTTTCATTGAAGGTCGATCTCAACTGGTTATCAGATTAAGACAGGCATAAAGTCTATAACATAACAGATCCACCTTATTAAGATCCGTTGCACGTTTAGCTACGACGAAATTAAATCTTTGCCGTGGGCATGTCTATTCTGTGGATATTTTCTAATAACAAAAATGACAGAAAAAAGCCTACTGCTAACATTTGCACAGAGGAATTTCATTAGATAGCTATATATAGATATACTTCTGTAAATAAACGTCAGAGTTATTGAGGAAGACAAGACAAACAAGGATGTATATAAGTTAATAAAGTTATGTTTTCATTTGGTAGATTTTTGAAGTAAGCGACAGTGACGTCTGCCTCTTGAAACATACGAATGATGTGAAGCCATAACGTAGTTTTTTACAGAACTTTTTGTGTTGGCTTAGTCAATTTGTGGATTGTTTTTTCAAGGTCTTGAAGTCGACTGCAGAAAATGTTGAGCGAAAGCTGCGGGTAGAACTTGCCCCGCCGTTTCTCACGAGAGTCCATTTTCCGTTATACATCGATCATCGACGCAACAGGCTGACCGGTTGATTCCAGAGATTATTCCGTCCCCACGACACCTCAGCACCTTTCCAAACGCTCAGACCTCCCAGGAATTACCGGCAGATTTCGGGGAGACCCGGAATCGGCTCACGGGTCACGGCTCCTCACTCCCGGAAGACGAGGTGACAATTACTGGCAATCCGCACCAAGAAGGTCCGTTCATGTGCGGACCAATCACCGTCATTGTGAATAACCAAAGGAGCGGACTGATCTGACAGATGCGCCAGATGGGTGCGGTGTTCTGCGGTCTCTCGTCGTTAACCGCTCACGGGTTTGAAAAGGTTGCCAATGTCCTGATGGGAATTTCTCAATGTTTCCCAACTTTTTTGTCTGAGCACATACAACAGCAAACTCAACCGATTTTGGTAAACACCTTCCGAACAAATAGCCTCTCCAACGAATTTGTGTAGAGAGAGAAAAAAGAGTTTACGATGTACGTAGTTTCTAGGTATATAAACATTTAGTCACATCCATCAAATAGTAACAGTTTGAACACACGTTCTGTGAACAATCTGAACATTAATTTTGCAAGTCAGCATGCATATGATGGAACGTTAGGATTGAAGAGGCACTTCACAATGGAGCTATCCATCAGAAGTTGACAGACGTAGTTAGACATCTTCACAAACACGTGTAAGAAAAATTGAAGGACTCTAGCTTCTGCCCGGGACTTCATCTAGTAGTGGACTTTTCTTGAATATAATTTGGGCAAGTGCATTGTCAACCTAAAAAGATAGTTCAGCAACATTTGCCTCTTCCTACTTTTATTGGTTTCGTGCTCTTCGCCGAGTATAGATCTACTCCCTCCTATACATCCCTGTGTATTTGCTGGAAACACGTAAATACTTATATTGCACTATTTCTTCATCGTATAGAAACAAAGTCTTTTAGGTGCAGTTTTTGCTTCTCCACACAGCCAGTGCGTGTAATCCTCTGGCAATGTGCAAAGGTATTAGTAAAAGGTAAGGGTCTTAGTAAAAGACATAGCCTATTCTTTGTAAACAGTACATTAATCGTGTTGCTTAGAATTAAGCAGCCGTCAGGTCTTTACGCCGAAGGCGCAACAGGAAAGCCATTAGAGCGCCTGAAGGAAGCCAGCTGTCGTTACTTCATAGTTAATGTGCTTTCAGTGTCACGTCATGATGAAGAGTTTGGTGCGCCGTGCACTTGAACATTTGCACAAGGTCATTCGTTTTCCAGGTGAATTATGGGTATGGTTGCATCTTTGTAATTAGTTATGGCTTTCTGAATATCAATTTGTCACGATATAAGAGGCTTTATAGAGGTGTTATTCAGCTTTCAGGGGAATTGCCTATGTATGGTAAGTAACTTGATTGGTCTTCTTCTATGTAAAATACAATTATGTCATTTTCTAGTGTTACATTCATGGAAAAATCAAATTTGTATAAAATGTCAGCATGGAAACTACCTCACTAATTAAAAGGTTGTTGTGTTGGATTATTGATACTTTAAAACTATTAGAAAACTTCGTAAACACTAGTAGTATATTGCAGCTTACCTTTGAAATCAGGCCTTATTCTTTTGTCATAATTGCAAAGCAAGTCGTCCAAAAAATTACTTGGAGACCGCGTGCCAACTGCTTTTCCCTTTTGTTGAGGGGCTTCTGTGTCTGTGTTCCTGCATCAGAAAGAAAAAAAACTCATAGTACAAATGGTGATATTTTTGTAATTGTTTGTCTAATGAGCTTGTGGGACTGGAATAAGAAGTCATACACACACAAAAGCACCACATACCAAAATACAAACAAGTCAACAAACATCTGACTCTGTCTAGTACAGTAACCCAAAACATTTCAGTGGCTCTCATGAGCCTTGTTTTGTGGAGAATATGAAGTAAAATAAAAAAAAAAACACTCAATTATGCGATCCTTTCCCTTGAGTGCACGTTACAATCCACTCAAGGGATAGAATGTTACAAGGAATGGTTAACATCCTATGAG